ATAGGAAGATAGGATCACCCGACTAACACTCCCCCTTTTCTTTGATTAAGCCTTCGGATTTGTTAATTCCACTTCAGCCTTTGACATATTTTCGTGAATAATAGTAAAACCGTCAAACTGTCATTGGTAAATGTTAAAGAAAACGAATAAGGTAAGGCGGACAATGGAATCCGCTTTGAATAAAAATATTACTGCGACAAGCGACAAGCTACTATGTTGAGAACAGAGTATCCTCCCCTGTAAATGCGTAGTTTTGCTTTTTGTCTATAGTTATTTTATTCTTCATAAAAATTGTGTTTTATGTTTTAAATTGATTTATTGTAACATTTCTAGTGCAAAAATAATAATAATTTTGTCTGTATTAAAGATTTAAGTGATCGTTTGTTTTTATAATAAATAGAATTGAACATTTTATTAGAAATTGATTTATTAAATAAATACTTTGTCAAATTGCTTATATTAAAGTTCTTTAAGAAGAAGACTTTGTATGTATTCATTTTTGACAAACAATCTTGCACTGAGGCAAGAACTAACAACTAAATGATATAGAGAGTAGAAGGTCCTAAAGATGAGCAAGTGCAATGACATTGGCCCACTAAAGAGCGTACAAAACGTATACGAATAAGGGCACTCGATACAGTTTCGATCCCACAATGATTTTTGACGAAAATTTGCATACAAGCTTTTTTTCACCTAAGCAATTCAAATATGTAATAAACAATATTCTTTCATGTGCTACTGTAAGACATAATTGGGGTCGAAATTTTAATCATTTACTCAAATGTTTGTTTATTTGGACATTTCTATCCTTTGGATAGACATACCTAACTTTTTTGTTTCCAAAGATAAACACAAGCGGAGTTTTGTAAAAACAGTTGGAAAATCTTCTTTACATAAGTATGCTCTAGATTTGTATAACAATTCTTTGGAAATAATTAAATTTTATCAAAGTTTCAGGATTTTAGAGGAAAAAAAACGGCATTTTTTGCTGTATATTTATCTAATTTAAAAAAATTTCATCGTTGACTTTTTCATGAAAATTTGTACAAATAATCTGTTAAAATAAAAAAGTTAGGTGTGTCTATCCAAAGGATAGAAATGTAAAAAAAAACGAAATTTTGAGTAAATGTCTAAAATTTCGACCCCTTTTATCTCTTAAAGTAGCACATGAAGGTATATTTTTTATTACATATTTGAATTGCTTAGGTGAAAAATATGCAAATTTCCGTAAAAAATTCATCGTGGTATCGAAGCTGATCGTATGCCCTTAAGATTGTAAATGCTTTGATTTGTTATAATTAATTCTAACATTTATAATTGCCTTGTTGACCCGTTTTTCAAAATCGTTAAATGTTTAGGTCTGCAGACATAACGATCAACAATATTATCAGATAAGTTGATTCTCAATTAAGTTTCATGTAAGGGAAATTAAACTTTTTAACTGCTGAAACGCGAAAAACGTTTTGTGTGACCCTTATACAGTACCATTTTTATTAGTCCTGTTCCCATTGGTATGCTGGTATTTCTGAAACTTTGAAAAACGAATTACAAAAATGTAAAAGTGGCACGAAAGAGAAGTGAACAGTTCTAGTTGTCAAAAGCACTGACACAGGAACTAGTACCGGTATATACCAAAATGATTTATCTAATATAGTATTTTTTCAATGTTGGTTGAAACTAAAGTGGAACAATTTCCCCTGAATCGTGTTGATTAGATCTTAAATAATACATGTGTCCATCTTATTACAAAAAAATGTTAACGAACACCACAGTCTCATTACAAGAGAAATTCATTATAACCATATATATGTCTTATCATAGTTTTGTTTGATTTCTTACCTTTAACTACCCATATTAAGCAAAAGGACCAAAAAGGGCAGTTCATGTCAATAAAATACATGCTGTAGTGTTTTACTTTTTAACATTTACCAGACATGCATATACATAAGAAGATGCGGTATTATTGCAAATGAGACAACTCTCCACCATACACCAAATGACGAAGAATTATAGGTCACTGTACGGCCTTCAATCATGAGCAAAACACATACCACATATCAAGTTATAAAAGGCGCCGAAGTGGCAAACGTAAAATAATTCAAATGAGAAAGCTTAACGGCCTGATCTATGTACAAAACAATAAACCCCTGAATAACAAATATGATATACAGCAACGAACGACAACCACTGAATGTCTGGCTCCTGACTTGGGATATGCACATACATAATGTGGCGGAGTTAAACATCGGGTTAGCGGGCGCCTAACCTTCTCCTAAAATCTGAGACAATGGGGCAACACAAAAACACAAGAAAACACTGTACATGCTGTACACAACAATAAACGAAAAAATACAACCACAACCACACAAAATCAGGCTCCTGACTTGATATTTGTTATTTGCGGGCGCCAAACTCCTCTAACCTGGGACAGTGGACTAATACATCACAACACAAGAACAAACTATAAAAAGCAGTTGAAAAGGGCTTAACTCAAAAAACAAATAACAAAAACACAAAGGACAAAGGACAAAGGACAAAAGACAAAATGTAGAGCTCCGAGTTTACTCGCACTTACTGAAAAGCTATAGTTCAGCATTCAAAATTTCTCCTTGCTTGCTTGTTTTTCTTTACACGATCAAGTTAACCCACGTTTACATGTGAGTTTTTTTTAGTTCAAATTAATGTTCTCTGAATACTAACCGTTTTAGTACTGTGTTATATTTATTGTGTGTACGGACTTATTAATTGTCTTGTCATGTTTGTATATTCATTATATAGTCGATTTTAAAAGCTCATTAGTTCATGTTTTATATGTTCATATATTCGAATCGAAATATAACAGTTTGAATTGAAGCAATTTCTTTGCCTATTTGATGTTGAAAACAATCCTTTCACAATCTCCGCTTATTTATTAACAACTTGCCTAATCTGTTGTGGTTTCGGTTGAATAATGTGTTATGTCGTATCGTTTGTTGTCCAAATAATTATAAAATTGCCTTTCAATACCATCATTGTCATATTCCCGAATATGACTGTTTTACTGAATGTGAATGTGCATTGCTGTGCGGCTCGTCTCTGTGTTTTGTACATCCAACATTAATGGATTTATTTTGATGTTTCTGTTATGGTTTCGGTTGGATAATGTGTTAATTATGTCTTATCGTTTATAGTCCAAATAATTATAAAATTGCCTTTCCATACCATCATTGTCATGAAAATTGTTTGGACGAATATTGTGAAAATAATTGTATAAAGTTCGAGATTGCATGTTAGTTCCGTAAGCGCGTCACCGGTTTTTGATATCCTATGTTGTTTTTCGTTGATCATGTAATATGTTAGTTGTTGTTCTGTGGTTTGCATGTTGTGTCGACTATTGTATTATTTGTTTGTGCGTTTCTCTGTTATGAATGTTCTTGCGTGTGTTTGTGCTGTTTTTCTGTCACGTAGTGTTTTAGCGATATTTTTTAACATTGTCATAAAGCGGGAGGTTTGGCATGCCATGAAACCAGGTTCAACCCACCATTTTTTTCTTAAAATGTCCTGTACCAAGTCAGGAATATGGCAGTTGTTATCAAATAGTTCGTTTCTATGTGTGTTGGCGTTTGTTTTTGTTGCACTTCGGTGTTCCTGTTGTTCCTTTGTTTTCCTCTTATAGTTGCCGATGATGTGTTTCCCTCGGTTTTAGTTTGTAACCTGGATTTGTTTTCTCTCAATCGATTTATGACTTTTGAACACCGGTATACTACTGTTGCCTTTATTTGTGATAATTGGAACTTGACATTTTGGTACAGATACTTCGTGTCTCTTCGGCTAATAGCCTGGGATCCTGGATCACTCATTGGTCCACAGTAGACGCGAAGCAGAGATTGAGACAGGAATCATCTTGATATCCGCAACTGTTTCCTTGTTAAAATGTGGTTGCTGTCTCATCAATGTATAGTATATTTATAGAGCGTTTGCTGAGGACCCAGTTTGATTCCAGCAACGGTACAACTTTAGGAACTAGGACTACTTTATTTACATGAACAAATTAATGCGATTTTATCGTTATGATTACAAATAGTTTTACAAAGGTAGACTGTTTTGCTTGATTTTATTATTTAGCATAGCTTATTAAGGGAGATAATTAAGAATTTTTACAAAGGAATCTATATTCATTTTTTGTTCTATCTCATTTTATAACAGAAAAAAAGTACGGTGACGCCATTTTCTTTTGATATTCTGAAAATATTTCATAAAAGCAAACTTCTCATTTTTTATTTCAAAATTCTGTCATTTAGTTTACCCAGAGACATATAATACATTGTATTATACTGTGTAAAATTAAATAAAATTGAGAATGGAAATGGGGAATGTGTCAAAGAGACAACAACCCGACCATAGAGCAGACAACAGCCGAAGGCCACCAATGGGTCTTCAATGCAACGAGAAACTCCCGCACCCGGAGGCGTCCTTCAGCTGGCCCCTAAACAAATATGAATACTAGTTCAGTGATAATGGACGTCATACTAAACTCCAACTTGATTATACACAAGAAACTAAAATTAAAAATGATACAAGACTAACAAAGGCCAGAGGCATGTCTCTGGTTTACCTTATATTCTCCCAACGATGTTTTTTTTTTCCTTTTTTCGTTTCGTTTTCTTAAGCTTGAAAACAAGCTCCGCCGCTCGATATTAAACCTACCATTTTTTAGGGGAATATATCACAATATAGTCATTTTTAGGGGAATATATCATAATATAGTCATTGAGAAATCTTTTTACGTTCTTGTTACTTAGAGCACCGGAGATAAAATTAATGAAGAGTCAAACAAAGCTTCGGGGTTCGAGTTTTAAGATAAAAGAAGTAAGCTCATGCTGACCAAGGATTTGTGTAGTAATTGTATTGTACATATCTTGTTCTGACCCCCAAAAAAGTAATTTGGGAACTTAAAGGTATTTGTTCGAACGCAACTTAAAATTATTTCCTTATCGTAGTTTTATTTGCGCTTTTTGATTAGTATGTTAACACTTTCATTTAAAGTTAAAATTCTACATTGAACAAAATTTTCGTCTGCAGTTTACCAGTAATTAGCAGCCTGAAATTATACTGAATTTGTGGTAAATTATTTTGGTTTCTTGTTCATTTTACAAGAAAGAATAGAGAAAAAACAAGATTAAGAATATTTCTGTTATATTGTCCATGAAACCTGGGAACAGTATATCTATGTTCCTGATGAAACAAAAGCCACGAAGAAGCTACTGTTGCTCTTGTATTTTTTTTATTTTCTTCTAAATTATTATTATCTATCTAAATGTATCTATCTATCTTCCTGTCGAGGATTGGACTCATTTTGAGTGTAGAAACTCCAGCGTGATGAGCAGCTTAAAACTTTCAAGTATGTACAGTGAAATGAAATCTGTAATACAAAGATCCTGGTCATTGAAGGTCTAGGGCATATGTATAGCTAGTAATATACGTCCTTGGTCCCTTTCTGTTACCCAAAATTAGGCTGATTTTCATCTCGCGTAAATATGACTAAAGCCCTCAAAACTCCTAGCTGAAACCCCTGTTGTTTACATAAGACAATGTTTGACATGCCCTTTTTGAATTATCAATCAGCATGCTAAAGTGCCCTTTTCATGATTGGCTCCCTGCCCTTTTGAAATCCTAGCTGGAACACTGTGTATATACAGTTGTAATGAAAATGTAAGATGGTCTAAATTAGTTGCGGAGTATTGTTGACACGCTGGCAGCTTGAATAGCGTGTGGAAAATGTTCCACTGACAAGGAAGCTCAAATATCTGGAGGTAAGGTTTTCCAAAATATGTAAGTGGCATGTATGAATGAATATTTGAAACAGTCCAGTTTAATAGGTTTTTATCCACGGGTCCTAGTGTTGTGGAAATGGAGCAGGTGGTGAACAGTAACTTCTACAACACTGTTCAGAATCTTGTAGAATATTACAACTCTGTTTCTTGCTCTCCTAAGTTCTAGTAGTCCCAACCTAGTTGTTTTATCATGTTCATGACACAGCAGGGGTCCCCTGTAAAGTAATCCCCAGTGACAAATCGAGCAGCCTGGCGCTGTACATTTTCTTATTGCTGGTTTGAATTAGGGTAAATTGATCATGTAATCAGAGGATGTCGTTGTCTTTTGTTTATGGTTCATAAGTGCTTCTTGTTTCTCGTTTTTTATATAGATTAGACCGTTGGTTTTCCTGTTTGAATGGTTTTACACTAGTAATTTTTGGGGCCCTTTATAGCTTGCTGTTCGGTGTGAGCCAAGGCTCCGTGTTGAAGACTGTACTTTGACCTATAATGGTTTACTTTTATAAATTTTGACTTGGATGGAGAGTTGTCTCATTGGCACTCATACTACATCTTTTATATCTATATATGTCAATTGAATATTGTATAGCTAAAGAAAAAGAAAGTATATTGTATTGCAACATACTTTAAAAATAAAGGGATATATTACAGCATAGATTGTTATAGTTTGTCAATATCTAAATTGTATTAACAAACCATGTCTCTTGGTGGTAAGCTGGCAAAAATGGAGAAATGTTATGGGCAAGAAATCCCTTACCTTTGTATTTTGCATACATGTATTCCACTAACAAGGGATTCGAATGGACGTTTTTATTGTAAATTGGTCATCAACATCTTTTAACACTGGGCTTTTGTAGTGAACAGATGGAGGAAAACCATGAAAACTGTGCAAAACTAGTCACAAATATTAGAAATAAATTTTAAGAATGTAATTTCAAATTAAACACAAAAATAACAAAAACATGAATTTATAATTAAAAATTATGTCAAAATGGCAAACCCACTTTGGTTGTTGGCTTCAGTTGTGCACCAGCCAGACACTGCATGAATTTTGCAAGAAATGTCAAGAAAATATTACTTTTTTGGAAGTATTTAATACTTCTACAACTATTAGAAATATAGGTAATTGATAAGAGTTATTGATATTTTGCCAATTTTTTTTACATGGCCAAGGAATCTAAATTCAATGGCTTATAATATATATGAAAAAATTATGCTATGTCTGTCACAGAGTTCATGAAAAGTCATGGTCCCAAGGTTTTGACCCCCAAATTGTGCAAAGGATCGACATAATTTTGGTAATTAGAAATAGAAATAACAGTGAAGACCAGCAGATTTTCTTCAAGGATCATGAGAGACAAAAAGATTTCCAGAACTCCTCTAGGAGTATAATTCTTGTTATAAACAATAACACCCAACCATATCACAAATACAGAGGTCAACTGAGAGAGATACAGTTGCTCTGGATTTTTAAAGTAGTGATTAGGATATAACTTCTGAAAGTCTCTTCCTTCTGTAATGGTATACATAAATATCTGCTATCAGATATCATTTTAATTCATAATTTCGTGTATTTGATGACGGATGAAATGTATTAAATGAAAAGTTCTTGAATTGGAAGTTTCTTTCCCCTATGAATTGAAAATGACAGTCCACTACCTAAGGCTAAGGATTTTAGAATAAGGTCACACCAGTTTGAACTCAGTTCCTTTCAACTTCCAGCAAGTAATTGTTTTACAGATAACTATGTTTTCAGTAAAATGATATTTCACTTTAATATTGGTATCGTTTTCAGATACATACCACCCCATAGAATTTACTTTAAAAAATTGAATGAAAAACATTCACTTCCTGAGACGAATTAATACAGTTTGGAAATAAAGAATATGTAATGTTTAACAAAAAAAAAGAACAAATTACACTATACTATTGCACAGCCTTCCACAACTTTGTTGTCAGGGGTTAAATAACTTGTTCATCAGTATTCACTATTAAAAAATTGAAGCAACTAGCCTGATGCTCATTTTTAGAAAATTTTGAATATTGGCCTGTATTTAAAATACTTACAGGCCCAATAAAAATTTTCAAGCCTGGGTAGGTTGACCTGTGATCAATTGTGAAGACCGGTGTCATGCACTCTGGTTAAAAGATTTTTATTAAAATTCTAAAAAAAAACTAAAATAAAATTCTTGTGCCCTAAACAATACATATTTATATTGAGAATCATCAATATGTAAGATATAGGTTTGTTATTATTTAGATCTTACTCTATTTTGAATTAACCTTCAGCAATATTTTCTGCTTTTACAATATACTTACTCATTTTCTTCCAGACTGAAGAATGTCGAAGAAAAGACATCTCCCTGATTGGATGGTCTTATGCAAGAGTAGGAAGATGGAGGAAATGCAAGAAGAAGTGAATAAAAAAAATGATGAAAAAGTGCAGAAAAGGAAGGAAGATATCATTAAACAGAAAAACACAAAGTTTGATAAAGCATTACAATCTGCAAAACAAAAATTCAAAGAGGAAAAGAAAGAAGCAACTTCACAAGTATTTGATCAAATAATGAACGAACAGACAAAAGAAATGAAGTTTGAAGGCAAACTAATATATTCCTCTCATACAAATGATTGTAACATGCTATGTGAAGATATTGAAATGGCTCTGTGTGATTTAACTGAGGCTTTTGTTGGATTTGATATGGAATGGCCAGTGTCATATAAAGTAGGAAAAGAAGATAAGACAGCTCTAATACAGATATGTACAGCTCCAGATACTTGTTATTTGTTCCATATATCATGCATGGGTTGTATACCTTCCAATCTCAAAAGTTTGCTTTTAAATAAACATATTAAAAAAGTGGGCATGAACATTGAATCAGATATTTGGAAACTTGAAAGAGATTATGATATACATGTTATTGATATCATAAAAAATAGCATGGAGGACATTGGAGTGTTAGCTAATAAAATATTAGGCTGTAAGGAAAATTGGAGCTTAGAGGGTTTGGTCAAGCATCTTTTTAATCACAAAATAAACAAGGATCCTATTTTGAGAAAAGGTGATTGGTCAAAATATCCATTGTCAGAGGAACAAAAATGTTATGCAGCAACTGATGCTTATGTTTCTTATAAGGTATATGAAAAGTTAGTGAACATGTGAACAAGTGATTTGTAAGTGCTGATTTATTTATCAAATGTTCAGAAAGTCTACTCAAACTAATTTATTGTTATATTATTTATTGATATTAATACAAATTTCTATTGATAACTGTATTAGTTTATTTTGATAGCTATATAATAAAGTTAATTTTTTAAATCAAGTTATTTTGTGTGTGAAAAGGGAGATAATTCAATATTCACAGTTATAAATTACTGGTATAAATTTTTAAAGGGATGATTATGTCTAAGATGACTTTAGGGGAAAGGGGAAGGGACAAGAAAATCTTTGTCCTATAGTTGAAAGCTATATTTCGACCCCTTGCTTTTTTATGTAATTGAGTTGCTTTTTCTTTGATGCTTACTCAAAATATTGAAAATAAAGGCCAAACTAGATACCATAAGTAGAAAACCAGTTTTAAAAATGACAAAAACAAGTCTATAAAAAACATCAAAGAAATCTTAACAGTGAACAACACAAACTCCACCAAAAACAGGGGTTATCTTAGGTGCTCTGGGAGGGTATGCAGATCCTGCTCCACATGTGGCACCCATCCTGTTGCTGATGTAAGTAAACATTTTGGTGATTAGTCTTAATTTTGATGAAGTCACATTCCAGGAAAAGAGGACAAAATTGTATTAATGATAATTGGAACATATCATAGTCATTTAGTTCTTATCTGAGTCTAACTAAGGTAAAAGGGTCTTGCATTTTTAATAAATACTGGTACATATATTTGTAATCCAAAATGGGAATTGCAGAAAGTAGAGGCTCCAAAAGCCTGTATCAACAAGCATTCTGAGAGTATTCCATGACAATACATAGTCCCCTACCGTTTAATAATTCATTGTACTGGAACAAAATGCTAACTTGATCTATAACTTGACAAGGTGTAAACAATATAACAAATACCAAGTCAATATCTTCAAGCATGAAAAGTGTGGAAAACTGATTATTTAAGTGAATTTTCTAAGTCCAAGGACCATAACTCTGCACAAAATCATCAAACTGGAACAAATTTGAACTTGATCTGTAATTTTGTCATGATAAAACTATACACCAATTATCAAATTAATATCTTCAAGCATGAGGAAAAAAAGTGTGGAAAACTGATTATTTGAGTGAATTTTCGAAGTCCAAGTACCACAACTCTGCACAAAATCATCAGACCAGAACAAAATTAGAACTTGATCCGTATAACTTGTCATGATAAAACAATACATATCAAATCTATATCTTCAAGCACAAAGAAAAAGTGTGGAAAACTGATTTGCCGGACTGACGGATGGACAGACAGACAGACAGACGGAGTGCAAACCTAGGTACCCTTTGACTTCATCGCTAGGGGACCAATAACCTGGTACCTATGCCAATGCAATGGACCATAGTTGTAACTTGTTGCATAAAAGTACAATTTACAAAAATTTAAATGGACAGGTAAACTCCAACTGGTTCTGGGGAAAAGTTTGATTGGCATTGCAATAAATTGATAGTTTAATAAGATGACAAATCTGATTGATTGATTGTTGGTGTTTAATGCCACTATAAGCACACTTGGCTATATCATGGCAGCCAGACCTATAGAAAATCATGGACTTGGGCATATAAACTGGCAATCCTAGACAATTAAGACCAGAGTCTAGCCACAACCTTCCCAGTATTAACAGGCTAGTGATCTCTGTAGATTAACTACTTAACAACTAGGCTTCTGAGGCCCTTACAAAATCTGAAAATCAAGAATTACTACTATTGGCTATTTTTTTATACTGGAATTGAAATAAGATGAAATTTAAATGAGGGACCTTTCATGAATAAATCCTATCGGTATAAGGACAGGAATTAAGGGTCAAGTATGGGGTTCACATGGAAACTCATGTGGTATGTTTTGCCATGTATGCCATCTGTTCAACGGGAAATAAGTTTGTGTTTTGATGTTTAATGCCACTCTGATTGACCTTGGCAGTATCATAGCTTTTAGTTTGGTGGAGGAAGCATGAATACCGAGAAAAGCTTTGGTCTTTCGCTGGAACACTGACAATCCTTGTCAGTCCATCACACATGGCAACAAGTGGGGTTTGAACTCACAACCTCTGGGTTCACAGGATAGTGATGATAGTAGATAAACCACTTAGATTAAGGCCTCCACATGAAATAAGAATTCAAATATTGTAAAATATTCAACTTGTGATTAAACAGCACTGATAATAAATTCATGAGCTACGCATGTTCTTGAGAAATTATGTTGTTCGGTCAATCGTTAAGTATTTTTCTATATTTGAATTCTTCAATTAGTTATTCTATAAGTCATATTTGTAATAGCAGATGAGATCCCAATTGTCATTTATATGCATAAAATATTGGTGAACCCAAATCAATCTCATTCCAGCATCTTCATTTCACCCTGATGTATATTCAGTGTTTCTGTTGTTCCGTTGGTATCCTCTTATAGTTGATGTGTTTCCCTCGGTTTTAGTTTGTAACCCAGATTTATTTTCTCTCAATCGATTTATGACTTTTGAACAGCAGTATACTACTGTTGCCTTTATTTGTGATGAAGTTATCAATTATATTTTGGTATCAGATCTACTCCTTAAAAACTACTTTAAACCTAAATCTTAACCATAAACCTTACTTACAGTTGGACAGATGTTTCAACCAAAACATTTAAAGTTCCTCTGAATAATGCAAAACGGGCAAGGAAAAACTTAAGTTCTATCTCAACCCCATTACTGCGGATTCGTTAATTTTTGTGGGTATCAAATTTCATTGATTGAGAAACATTTTTGTGCATGGTTACTTGATTTTGTGGTTTTGTCATAGTTTGCATATACATGTAATACCAAAGGAATTTTGTACTTTTGTTGAACACTTTCAGGGGCGGATCCAGGACTTTGGGTTAGGGGGGGCACAAACTTAAATTTTGGCCGAGCGGAGTGATGCGAAAATATTTTGGAGGAAAAATTATCAAAATATTCATTATCAACAGTACATCATTTATATATACTTCTTGTCTGTAATAGTCATTCAATTATCTGGATGAGGTCAGCGCATTCTCTGGACACAATGTTTCCTTTTTCTTTATATTAAACTTACTACTATATAGTAGAAAGCTATAAAATATTGAATTACACAAACAGCAATTCAGAATTGCATTTTTATTTTTCCAGATTTGAAATTAAATATTAGAATTATTTCCCCTCATATTTGAAAAGTCATTAAATAAGAGAAAATATGTTTTCTAATAGAGGCCAGATAGTAATTACTTTTTCCTTGGAGTTAGAAAGTATCATTTAAATAATCCTTAGCATGATAATCCAAAACTGTGGATTTATTACTATTTGTTGGATGCCAATTTTCGCAGATTTCATGGGTATAGTTTTAAAAACCATGAATTTAAATTTTCAAGGAAGTACAAATTTTCTATAGGCAGAATTTGGCAACACCACAAAATAAAATATCCATGAAAATGCAATTTTCCCACAATCTTCAATAATAAATGAATCCACAGCAGATCATTTCAAGAATTGGTAGGTTAAACAAATATTAACCCATCAAGTACTGTAAATTCAGAAATTATTGCACATATTTATTAGGGATTTTGACATGACCAACCAATCAAAATTTGAGAGTAATTATTGCAATTTCAGAAAAAGCTGCATACAGATATCTAATGCGAGATCTTATTTTTTTTTTTTTTTTTTTTTTCTTCTTCTTATTATTGCTATACTCAACAAGTCACATTATTTGCATTAATTAAAATCTCACAATATTTATAAATTTACAGCTGTTACAATTTCAAAAGGGCAATGATAAAACAGAATACATGAATAATATTTCATATGTTTTATTGTATTGTTTCAAGTTGGAAAAATAATGCACTGATGTGTAAAATGACTAGATAACAGTAATATTCACTTGAGTAAATATGTACAACAGATAACTGTGATTGAACATCATTAAATGAATGTACAAATTTGAGTATATTTACATTTGATTACCGGTATACATGTAAATAGGGATACAGGCTCACATACTATACAGTTAGCTCCTATGAGAAATTTTCAAATTATCAGATCATGATTTGACTACTAGACTTGGTAAATTTTAGTACTAATGTAAAACAAATGATAAGATATTGAGCACAATCCGCTACTCTCCTTCTATCCGTTAGATGAAGGTACGGAATCGGCCGAGTTGTGACGAATGATATTGAGGACAAACATGTGTATCATTCAAGGAACCAGTTACTGTTTTTACAAAGCTATCTTTGGTTAAAGGTTGAGGTATATCATTTAATATATATTTAAATTTTAATTTAATATCAGAAGGAATTCATTAATTTTCAGCATTAAATGAGGTAACAAATATAAGAACTGAGGCAAGCATCTATAAGATTGATTGTTCTACCATTGGATGATCAACATCAAACACTTCTACTACATTGTAATAAAAAATACTTATTTATCCCAGAGTTAGACTAAAGGGACATAATTCTCACCACTGAACTTGCTTAACAAGAAAATTTTAACCCCTGTCAAGTTAGAAGATGTGACAATTTCTTTTTAATAATTTCAATTTACAATTCATATTTTCACTGTTTTGTTACATATGCAATTTAGCAATAGCCATGCTATTTTCGAAAATAATTTATTTTCTTTGTCTTTTTATGTAAATTTATCATGTACATAATAAGATACTCATAAAAAAAATTGCTTGTAAATTGTAAAAATTAAATTAACAATTTCTTCCTTTGAGCTTGCAGGTTATACATGTTATATGGGAAATAAATTTCCTTATATTTTTATCAATCTAGGAAATTCTACTTGACTTATGTCCCTTTATTAGCCTGATCTTTAAAAAAATGTGAAAAGAAAACTTCTCTTGTTAATTTTTTTATAAATAAAAAGCTTAAGGTAAAACTTTGATAAATAAACCATGTTTTCATAATATCATATAAAAAATTAAACTTACTGCATTAATTTCTATTTTTTGTATTTTGTAACAGACAACCTTTACAGTAACAATTCAAACATTCAACAATATCCCAATCTAAATGGAAGTAACCATCTATCCTCACAAAACTTGGATTATTTACAATAATAAATAAACAATATAACAAATCTGGATAAACAAAACAATTATGGATGAAGGAATTTGTCATTGTCCACACTGACTTTGACAACAATACAGTCGTCTCTGATGTAGTTTCTGGTTTTGAGGATTTCATGCGAAATAAATTTGGGATAGCCAAATCCCAATGTTTCTTTATGGTCTGCATTAGTCTTAGGTTTTTGAAAATGCTTCCATGTTGGATCAGGAGTAAAACTCTCCTTTATATGAGCACGTTTTTCTGAGTTTCCATTTTGATCTAGCACTGAAAATGAAATCGGCAAACTAAAGGGCCAGTCTAAAATATTGTCAAATTCCCCAGGTAAAAGTTTAATGTAAACTGAGAGGTATTTCCCTTCACCTGCTCCATTTCCATTTAAGAACACTGAGGCAGCCATTTTGTATCCATAGCGATTTGTGTAGAACGGTTCACTAACAATTTCAGTACTTTTATACACAGATTCGAGAAACTTTTGTTTGTAGTTTGTGATTTTCCAAATAAAAGTACCATCCGTTATATGAGTAAGAGTATATAAAGCATTGCACAGTTGAGTGATTTCGGTCTGTTGATTTTTGACGAGGCCACACATAAGCTGGAGATGCTGTTTCATACTATCCTCTGTGTGTTTATCCAAACTGAATCTTGGACACTGTAAATACAACAAATATATAAATAATTCAGTTAAGTATTAAACACTGCATAAAACTTGGTTTTTTGGGGTAAATTTGTTTGTTGATTAATTGATGATTGATTGCTAGTGTTAAATGCCACTTTCAGCACTTTTCACTCTTTTGAGGCGGCCAGTTTTTATTGTATGAGAAAGCCAGAGTGCCCAGAGAACCACAACCTACAGCAGGAAAACTGGCAATCCTAATCAATTAAGATTGGAGTCCTACATACGGGGTTGGAACTCACAACCTCAGTGTTGACAGACTAGTGATACTGTAGATGAACTACTTGGACCACTCAGCCACCAAAGGCCACTAATTTGTTTATTGAAAATAATATATTCTACATGTAACTTTAATGGTGGCAGTTGACATTAAACATGTACAGATTTTTCTGTGTAAAAATGCTGGAGGATGCAAACATTAAAAGACCTTGTTCGTAAAAATATGCAAACAGCTGTTACTTTTGTGGAATTTTCATATAGATGTACTTCTAAACAATGTATTATACTTTTTTCACCTTCGGTGAATAATTTTGTCCATAAAATAACTGACAATTAATCATTTTAGACTTAATTTGGAGTACCAGTAATTAGACAAAAACCAATAAACTTCATATGCTTTCAATATAATTTTTTTATTGTGATATAATATTTTTATTGTGATATAATATTTTTATTGTGATATAATTCCAAACTTGTTCGCACACTGTATTGCATTCATTATTGATAGATTTACTTCAATTTTGTCCTATTATTGGTTTACAGTTAATACTTGTATACATTGTTGTTCTCAGTTTTTATATGAATATAATAGCAGCAATCATAATATACAATCAATAAATGTAATTTTTCTGAATTTATGTATATTTAGACTGAACTATCCTTTAAAAACTGAGTAAAAGTTTAAAAAAAAAAAGAATGTTCATGCCCACTGCAAATTGATAAATTATTTAATCCTATAGACCTATTTCAAGTTCTTTTTTTATACAAGAGTTGTGCCAGTTGACCTGAGGTCAGTTGGTGTAAAAAAGGACATTAAACCATTGGTTCATACTGTGATGAAACAACATAAGTATTGTGACATTTGAATTGTAAGGGAAAATTCATAAATTTGTCTATAAATTTAAGAAGGATGTGCCTTTGGACACAAATGCCCCACTCAAGCTTTCTTATAATATGTTAAAATACTTTTGGGACGGACGAAAGGATAGACAGAAGGACAGAAAGACGAATGGAGGGACAGCGGAAGGGGCATAAAAAAATAGAAAGCTCTGTGTATTGTTCACATTGTTGCCCTAACCTTACCCAACTTAGGTAGTACTCTCACCTTATGTGTGCATCCTGCATCTTTGAAAGTACAGCTAATAGTTGCTGATGGACAAACTGCCAGTACATGTACATCTAAATCTTCTCTGGGTATTTTTGTGGGATCACATCTGTTAGGACATGCAACAGGGAATCTGGGACACTGATACTGATGAGTCTGTGAATATAAGGAAAAAGAAAAGTTAGTACCAGTAACGTGGTTAAACATAATGTTAAAAATTTACATTTTATATTCTAATGTACATTGTGAGAGCTTAGGCTCTATAGTGTTGTGCAGTATCATCTCATACCATTTAAGTATTTGCTGGCAATTTGGGGGAAAAATTTAAATTAAATTTTTTTGATGTTGCCTACCTACCCACCTAAAGAGCAGCCTACCCCAAAAAATTTATGAGACAAATCGTTTCAAATCTTTTTTAAAAACTTTTTTTCATGCTCTAATGTTGTTTTCTTCTCTTAAACATGTAACTTATGTTGTTGGCCAAAAAAAATTCCTTACCTACCTACCCAACCCTACAAGGCATGGGTCGTCAACATCAAACAAAGAATTTGTTAAGGGTGGCCTTGTATAAATTTTTTGTCAGTTCTTAATTCATTTAACTATTTTCATTGTGTCATTATTTACTTGATATCATTAATATGTAAAGAAAAAAAAACAAGGCTATCAATTTAACTCGAAATCAATTTTGACCATACCATGAATGAGATTCCAATTACTTTTAATATATTTTTTATGACACCAAAAAGAATCAATACTTAATAGCTATTTGTGGTTGAAATTTCAATCACATTTTAAAATTTCAACCCAACAAGAACATACATGTACAGTTTGAATTTAACACCATTTTTACGTAAATCTGTAACTCTTATATATCTGCTGATTGTTTTGGATCAAAATTACTCAGCAATTTTTAAAAAGAGTTCTTGAATTTCCAATAGGTTCTAGATATTTAGATAAGTAACATAACTATAAGGTTTTATATAACTAGTTAATAATTCAGTAGGGAGTAAAATACAAATAGAAACTGCACAGCTTGCAAAAACATATTTCATTTATTATTCTGTGTGTTAATTGTCATGTATTTTGTTACAAGTAATTACCATAAGGTCCAAATGAACCTTTTTTATAATAGGCTATAAAACATGATCAAACACATTAACTTTTTGACTGGTGACCTTTCTGTTAACAGGTCTATATATTTCAAGACTCACCAAGAACTTGTCTTCTTTTGAAAACTCAAAAATAACCTTTTAAAGCTTATCATACAGTATGGCTTTTGCTCATTGTTGAAGGCCATATGGTGAGCTATAGTTGGTTACATCTACATCATTTGGTCTATTATTGGTTTGCAGTTAATACTTGTATACATTTTTCTTCTCAGTTTTTATATGAATATAATAGCAGCAATCATAATATACAATCAATAAATGTAATTTTTCTGAATTTATGTATGTTTAGACTGATCTGTCCTTTAAAAACTGAGTAAAAGTTTAAAAAAAAAAGAATGTTCATGCCCACTGCAAATTGATAAATTATTTAATCCTATAGACCTATTTCAAGTTCTTTTTTATACAAGAGTTGTGCCAGTAAATCAAATTTTTGAAACTGACCAAAAAACCAGGGGAGAGAGGATTTAACAAACTAAAAATTAATTTTATGTGACCTTTTCATGGACCTCAATCATGTTTTAGCTTTATAACAGGGTAGTTCTGTTGGGTAGCATTTTATGATGTGGTATGATTGCCAATGAGACAAATATCCACCACAGTTCAAATGAAGTGGATGTAAGCAATTATAGGCAACCGTAGAGCCTTAAAGAATGAGAAAAACACATACTTTATAGTTTGCTATAAAAGGCCCCGACATGAAAAATAAGAAACAATTCAACTGAGGAAACTTTCAACTAAATTTTTAGTTTGTTAAATTCTCTCTTTATTCAAGAAATAAATAAATACTGCTACACAGAATATGAAAAAGGCAGTATCTTTTCATTAGATCGCTAATTTTATACCCATTTCCCTTTTTCTCACTATCTAAGCTGTTGTTTTTTGGTCTATTTACCTGCAAGGTTTCAGCTACAAAGTCTCTGTTGCAGTATTTGCATGGCACTGTACGTTTGTGGCATTCATTTTTTGAGTGGTTAACGATGAATCGTCTTTCTAATTTGGCTCCACATTTGTTTTCACACCATGTCACCTCATAAGGACAATTCCCTGAATGTTGCTGTGTAAATAGAAATGTTTATTGAAAATTATTCAATGAAAGGCAACCTTATTAATAATTAACAATAGGGACACCAGTATATGGGAGATAACTCTATCATCCTATAGTGTCAAGTAACTCTAAAAATATATTCTTTCTTTATAACTTGGATTACAAATTTATTAAAGAAATTAATAATAACCGTACACAGAATATGAAAAAAGCAGTATCTTTTTATAAGATCACTATTTAGATTTGGCAAATAGTTAAGGCAAAGTGAAATAAAATAAAAATCTGTAAAATTATACAAAAATTTATAATTTAATAAATGCATAAATGAATCGATCATTATACAAGGTGATAAAATAAGTGGGGGGAAAAAAATAGGGACGTGAGAAAAAAACATCAAAAACAATCAAATACTTTCTTCAATCAAAATAAAGACAGTATAAAGTGAACTTACCTTTTCGAAAAGTTCTCCAGGAAATTGTTGATTGCAGTGTTCACACTGTACAAATCTCTTTGGGCAGGTATAATCTAGATGATCGTCTAAATCTAGTCGAGATAAAAATGCTGAACACTTGTTAGGGCAGGATATTGCTTCGAATCTGCATTGGTCCAAATGAGCCTGAAAGTTTAAAATTAATAATTTTTTTCTTTTACATTATAAAATCTTTTTGTGTATAATTATTTTATGATGATTATAAGAGGTCCATGCGAAATCACACAAAATTACCAATACTTTTCATAAAGCCGTTTTGAGAAACTTAAATCACATAACAGTGATTAGAATTTCAAGTGTCTAAGGCACAATACTGACTCTTAATGTCAATTTTTTATAAAGATAAGTATATATCATGTGGTTTGCCTGCACAAATGTAATTTTATAGTCATATTTCATGTGCATGACATATGTTTCTAGAACCTAGCTCAAAAAAAATATTTTGGAATGCCAAATACAAGCATCAACAGCAACTCAAAGTATTGAGTATATAATTGAAATGTTTACACGGATGATCTAAAGACCATCTGATGGCTGACAATTCAAGGGCAGAGATTTCTATCTCTCTGTAGAACCGCCAGAAAAAACTTGCAGTTGTTTTCTTATGTCCTGTGTGATATATTCGTACAAATTCAGGAAAATAACAAATTACTGTAAATTCAGAAATTATTGCGAGGTTTTTATTAATGCGAATAATGCGACTGGGTGACTATCGTAAAAATAAGAACTCGCATTCTGATGTCTGCAACATATATCTGTATGCAGATTTTCATGATATTGCAATAATTAAACTCGCATTTTTGTCAATTCTTGAAAAATCGCAATAATAAATGCAGGCAATAATTTCTGAATTTACAGTAAACAATTTATTTGATAGGTTCTTTCAGGGCAGTGGAATGAAAGGGATTATAAATAGTATAAAGAAAGGACATCCTAGGTAGGGTCAGAAATTTTGCTTTGCACCCAGAAGATGTTGCATACCAGGTTCTTTTACTTGAAAAGTATGTGGCAGTCTCTGAATGCACTGAGATTGAATTTAATTAATGTTCCTATTTTGATTGGATGTGACCAGGAAAGCCTCAAAACAGACAACCTATTACTGCCTCAGCATGGATCTTTCTTTAACGAAATAACCTCATGTGGCTATATTTCTATACTGAAATCACCACCCTTACTGGTTTTAATAGTATGCCTAGGGTGTCCGAAAAACACTTTCTTACCATAATTTTTTTCCTTTTTTCACTAAAATTCCATAGTGTAGATCTTTCTTTATAATTTCAAAACTGTCTTGCATGGTTGTTTGTTTAGTAATTACTATTTCTCGTCTTAAAGCAAGACGTCATCTTGTAAATCTTACCATTCTCCCATCTTAAAATTATAAAATCATTAATTTATACAATGGAGGAAGGGATATGCTGTTTTAATTCATGAAACAAATAAATGGAGAATGCGTCCATGGGACACAGAAGTTACCCCCGCTTACATATAACGTTATAAAGGGGCAAAATTGGAACTTGATCTGTGCTTTGTGGTAATAAGCATTGTGCATAAGTTTCATAACATTTGGTAGAGGCAAACTAAAGTTAGAGAATGAAAACCAATTTTGGGACATACTTACGGACGAACAGACAAGGGTAACACTTAATGACCCCTACGCTGCGGCGGCGGTGCCATTAAAATATCTACATGCTCTTGAAAACACCAAAAGCAAAAGAACAGCCCTTTTATTGCACATTTATGTTTATTATGGTAATTTCCAACTGTCCTTTTTTCAAGTGACTTTTCTAAATGTAAAGGTAGTTCATATGATCCTTAATAGTTCAATATGATTATTTCGTTGCCAGATCCAGATACTATTAAAAAGGTAGAGGGGTGTATAAATATTGACAAAATGGTGTTTAAATATGGGCAAAAGGGTATTTAAATATGGGCAAAAGGGTGTTTAAATATGGGCAAAAGGGTATTTAAATATGGGCAAAAGTGTGTTTAAATATGGGCAAAAGGGTATTCAAATACGGGGAAAGGGAAGGGGTTCAATAATATTTTTACTGACTTTACACCATTTCAAGAGATTCTAAAGAAAAAGGAATTCTGAACCCTTGATTTTTAACACTGCATGCTTCATTTTTCCTCATAATTCAAAAATCATATACTGGATTTTAAGCATGAGCCACCATTGAATCTGTCCAGTTTGCTCTTAGGTCCGCAACAGTGTAAGATATATTATTGTTATTGCTGTGTTTTATCTGCAATTTAAAAACTTGTCACTTGTATTTATCTATTTTTGTGTGTTTCGGCAACTGGATTTTCCATATAATGTTTAAAATATCAATAAGGAAAAAGCAATCCTACCTGTAAATTTTGTAATTTATCTACCCAGCGACAACCTTCCTTGACATAACGACAGCGGGTCAGGCTGTTCATAACTTCTGATGTTAATTCCTCATCTGGGTAGATCTGAAAAGATCAAATTCAAATATGTAAATTTATGTATAAGGGTTCTTATTCATGTCATTATTCCACTGATCAAAGATGCTGTAATGGATATCTAGATATAACAAATGAAAAACCTTCAACTCTAGGGAAACCTCCTGAAACTGAGACTGGAAACTGTTTGTCACAGAATAAATTATTTCATGAAAATATTGCTTAATCTTGATAAAATGATTGAAACCAGAAAAAAATTATAAACTGGATATTCTATCTGGTTTTCCTCACAATTATGTAATATTTTTTAGAAAAAATTGAGTTTTGGCCAAATCAGTGTTATCCAAATACTCAAACCATATTTTTGGTGCAAATATGAACAGTTGAATTCAAGATAAAACAAACAGTAACAAAAACAACAAAATAAATATAAACATTGTTGAATAATAAAAATAAACAATGTGGAAAGATAAAAATAAACAATGATGAAAGATAAAAATAACCAATGCTGCAAGGTAAAAAAAAAAACAATGACGCAAGATTAAACTGTTACCTGTTAGCTGGATATTCTTCTGGGAAGTTTCCATGAAAGTGCCATGGCATTTCAATATTTTTAACTCATAATATTAAATGCCATACCCGCAAAAACCAGCAGGTTATTTTATACAGCAAATGTTATCTTAACTTTCATCTTAGACTAATGATATTTTATACCTACCAATAATTTACATTTATAATCCCTATTTCTTTTTATCATGTTTTCCCCCTTGCTGTGTTAATTACTCCTTAACATGGAGAACCCATACATTTTACAATCTCACAAGTACATGCTGCATGGAAACCCTTCAAATAATTGTCAAATATATCATTAACATATGATTCTCCTTATAATACAAGGAAAGTCAAATGATCTGGAGGAAGCATTTTAGTGAAGACCCACACATAAAGCTGTCTCCATCACCTGAAGGAAGTTGGTCAAGTAATTATTAAAGAAAATTTAAAAAATATCACATTTTTCAGATTAACAAAGTGAGTAAACAAAGATTTCCTGCCAGGCTTATCCAAAAATCTAAAAAGCAATTTTTCAAGGTCCTGGTTTAGGCTTTATCAGAATAAGAGGGACTTAAAGTAATTTAAATCTGCAAGTATCACCTTACTTAATCTGTATAACCTAATACTGTAAATTCAAAAATTATTGCGATGTCTTTATTATCTGAAAAATTCGTAAGGGTTCCGCGGAACCCAGTGTCTCGCCTACTTTTGCTGTTAGTCGCAGGCTCAACAAAAATGGGGAAATAATTATTAAAAATTTTCCTCTAGATACTATCTTTTGATTGTAAGAAGCTTCTGTTTAAGTTTTGTAAGAATCCAGGATGGTTTATGAATCTAATAAATGTTTTAAAAACTTTAACTGCAGACTGTATGTAATGTTAACTGGAAGAAAAACTAAATCCATTTATAAGTATTATACAGAAAAACAGGAAATTTTTTTTACAAAATTTTCTTCTAGATACTAGCTTTTGATCATAAACAAGCTTCTGTCCAAGTTTGGTACAAATCCAGGATAGTTTAAGAAAGTTATTAAAATTTGAAAAACTTTAACCACAGAGTGAATGTTATGTTAACTGGCAGAAAAACTAAGTTCATTTATGAGTAAAATACGGATAAACAGGATTTTTTTTTTACAAAATTTACTTCTGGATACTATCTAATGATCATAAACAAGCTTCTGTCCAAGTTTGGTAGAAATCCAGGATAGTTTAAGAAAGTCATTAAAATTTGAAAAACTTTAACCACAGAGTGAATATTTGTGGATGCCGCCGCAGTTGAAATGTAGGATCGCTATGTCTTGCTTTTGCGACAAAAGTCGCAGGCTCGACAAAAATGCGACAGTATCAGGTTCACAATGATAACAGCTTGCATTTATAATTTCAGTAGTGATTGTCCTTCATAAAATGTTTGCAATTGCAATTATTAGATTTCAAATTTTCGCCAGAGTTAAAATAGTCACAATTATAATAAATGCATGCATTAATTTCTGAATTTACATCACCCATGTAATATAAGTCGAATACATACTATTGGTAAAATCTTATAGGACACTGGGAACCAAAATATTTGATCCTTTCATGAATTCACAAGTCTATACATCTCACTATGTATACCAGATGCAGATCTAAGATTCTGAAAAAGGGGGGCCTGTGGGCCCCCAAACTAGAAAAAAATTGGAGTGGAATAGGTTAAAAGTCTGGATTAATCATAAATGTAGCTCCATAAAATCCCCCTCTCTATACACATTGCATTTTTAGAGCCATTAAATATTACTTTTCATAAATAACTACTACTTACATACCTTTAAAATTAGCAATATTTATCTGAACAATTAACTCCTCAAATGTTATGGTCAAACCATCTGAACAATATGAAGTTTTGCCACAAGGAAACAAATTCAAATTTTTTTGACATTATCCTCCTCATTAAGCAGAAAATTGATATAATTTGAAAACAGATTACCTAATAAAATCTTCCTGTTAACCATCACCTGATGTATAGAGCAAATATTTCCACTGTTTTATCATAATATAAGTATTCAATTCAATAACATACTGCACATCTGTTGCATGTTCAGTATGTAGGTAATTACATCACAGCTTTTTCACATGCACAACAAATGCAATTTGTATGATAAATTTTACAGTTTATGATAATAAAGTATATTTCTGCATTTCCCTCTGAGAAAATTGTCTGTGAGTAAAAGGAGATGTGGGATATATGCCAATCAGACAGCAACCCAACAACACTTATAACCAAAGACATCTAGATGTCAACAAACGGTCTATAAAAATAGGTGGGTGTCCATATATGGCATTTAAGCATCTTAATTTGTGACAATAACATTAACGGTACCAATTTTTCTGCACCAGATGCATATTTCGACAATAAATGCCTCTTCAGTGATGCTCGAGGCCAAAATATTTGAGAAAACAAAACTTATTAAAACAATGAAGAGCTTATAAACCAAAAAGGACAAAAAGTATAAAAAGTGGTATAGCCATAGCCTCACTCTGAGAAGGCATGAACTTATAATACCATATTGGTAATGAACCAATTACAAAATGATACATTCGTCCCTCTAACTCAGTCTTATTTGTTGTGGCTCTTATTAAAGGCTTCTGCCTCATTTTGAAAAAGTTAAGAGAATGTACAGTCTCTGTGCAATTCTGCAAAATAATTTTTAGAATGCTGCTCAGTCATATCATATCTATTTCCATTTTCCTACCAAAAGTTTTTATCTCAATTTTCCATTGTTTGTATCTTTTTCTTTTTGCATTATGTATATCATTTTTGAGCTCACACCATACTGTATAACTAGTTTTTTCTATTATATGCAGATTTAATACAAACAAACAAATAAAATACCATATGTCCAAACAATATATATATATTTTGAAACCAATGTATTTTTAAATGTGGTTCAACAAACAACTTAAAATTACATTAAAAAAGAAATACCTGACTATTTTCTGAAACATCTTGACGACTTTCCATAACAGAGATAGGTAAACATGCTAAACATCCAAAACTTAGAACAAATTTTAATCCTATTTAAAACTCAGCCCATCAACTGATGTCAAAAGTTGATGCAAGATCTAATAATGTTTGGTCAAATATTTGTCCATATATTTACCTACCAATATCAAAGTTTACTCATTAAATTCTCCTGGATGATACTTAATTTACAATTCATTCTATAGACGTATGTATAAACTGGAAAAAGTTCAATACTATAAAAGTTTTACCTTGCACAGGTGTTAATCCTATGTTCAAGTATCTCTAATCCATAAATGCCAGACAAGCTTTGTATAGATTTGAAAGTATAATATAATCACAAAAGTCAAGTTTTTCATTTGATATTCCTAAAAAGCGTAGGATAGAATTAATAAACCTCCTCCATTACCGCCACCATTGTCATGATTGTAATGTCATGAATGCAAGTTCCCAATAAAGTTGACAATGATACAGACATTTAATCAAAACTTTTATCAAATTAATTAACCTGCCTAATTTGTTATCACCTTGCTAAAACACCTTTGTTATAAATGCAATATACATCCCAGGTAATCAGCTGATCTCATATCTAGGTATACATTTCTACAATCATTTATTAGCAGACAATAATTTTTTTTTTATCAGATTTCAATCCAGATAAGGTTGTATTATGTATCAACAGTCTACATACATATACCTACTGATAATCACCTGATAATTGTTTTCAAGTAACATCAAAGTAACTGTAGATCTGATAAAAAAAATGTTGTTTTTTTTATTGAAAGAAACATCCTAAAATGAATATATTACCACTGATAGCCGAGTGAGAGTTATTTCCCATGACAATTTATCAACTATAATACCACAATTCATTTTCACTGAACTACAACAGTGAAATGGTCAAAACTTTAATCTTTTTATCAATAATTTAAACAAAAAATAGTTTTCAATTGTGTTAGAGCATGGCAGTTAAGAGCTACTTTTAAAACAAAAACGTACTAAAACAGTTTTTTTCAATAAATAAAATTTCCTAAAATTTTCTGGTTTTATTTATCACAGATGAAACGTTCTTCATCTTTATATGGTTAATGCAATGTTAAATGCAACAACACAGGAAAATCATGGTCGGAAAAAAAAGTTGTTGTTGTGAATTTTGGGGTCATGGTTGTCACCAGAATTCTTTCAATTATATATGACACCATTTACCAGTTTGTCCACCTCTATAAAAATATCTTTGAAGCCAAACCAGAGTTTATATCTTCAACCAAGACTGGTGTCATATGAAATTGTCAATCTTATTTTCAATCTAAAAACCGATCTCTACAATTGAAAAAATTATTAGAACTAATTTTTTTTTTATTATAAATTTTGATGAAAAAATTCCAGCCAAAATAAAGTGATTGACCCTTTGTAATAAAATAAAACAAGAACTTCTAAAAATTTTACTCTATTACTTGCAGGATGTCCTTTTTCGGCTTACCCCAGATTCATAAGTATTCTAGAGTGATTTTACTTACTGTAAATTCAGAAATTATTGCATGCATTTATTATTGCGATTGTTTAAGAATGGACACTAATGCGAAATTAATTCTTGCTATTTCAGAAAAATCTGCATACAGTGATCATAATGCGAGTTCTTATTATATTGCGATACTCACCCAGTCGCATTATTCACATTAATTAAAACTTCGCAATAATTTCTGAATTTACAGTAAATTACAATTAAAACTCTCAGGATTGAACATGAGAGACAGAAAAGGTTTTTTCTTTTTATTATAAAAAATAAATATATACTTCTAAAATTAGTTCACAACAAACAGATTTGTTAAAGATATTGTCAAATCAAGTTAAAATACTACTTAAGCCCTTACTTTAGTATCTAAAACATACATGCAACAGAATCCTTATATTACTACAAAAAGACCTTACCATTTCTAATTTTAAACATAAAGTTAATAGAAACTTACTCCTCTTGAAGAATTTTTTGTACAACAATGTTAAGATGATGTTTGCACATAGATTATCAATACAAAATATGTCTAATTCACAATGATAAAAATTATATATGGTAGATATGATAAGTAAGAATGACTGTGATGGAATTTGTTTTATTTGATAAGGTAAAGATAAACACCTGGCAGGTATTTCATACCTGTCCGAAATACATCAAAGACCACCAATACACAAACATTTCTACATCAAAAGACAGTTCAATATGTAGAAATAGGTAAACATTACACCTGAAAAATTTAAAATGATAAATATGCATTTCACATGAAATGTACAAAGGCTTTAAAGTTCATTAAAATTAATTTTTAAAAGGTACTTCTTTGTTCTTGTTTACAAACAAAATGAAATATGTGATAATTTAGTAACGTTACTAAATGGAATAGCAAACATTTTTGCTGAACTTGCAGTATTGTACACTTAGACATTTGGTCCACTTATCAAATAACATGGCCAACATGTTTCTATATCAAGAAGTTTCCCATAATAATTTCCCTTAAATCAATTGACTAGCAATTTTCCTATTCCTCAAATTATATGTAAATAAAAATCTGAAGACATTTAAAATGAAAGAAAAAAGAAAAAAAATTAACATCTTATTGAATTTCAATTTTAGCCAGTTTTGTAGAGTTGTTCAAACATTAGAATATCAGCAAAATGGAGAGTTACTGCCCTTTTCAAGTGTCAAACACCCTGTTCTCCTCGCTTACAAATTATATTAAAGCCAAAAATTAATATCATCATAGGTCACATTCTATTTTTTAACTACTGTTACTGGTACCTTCAAACCTTTTATTGTTTAATGTTATTTTATCATAAATTTTAACTGTTGATAATCATGCGGTAACCTCATTCCTACCATGAAAATTTAAAAAATCATACTGAAGTGAGAAAATCTCACAGAAAATAAAACTATACATCAAAAAGTTTTTAAATATAACATAATAAACTACTGTCAATATAATTGTATGTATAAATACTATGTAAAATATCATATTACAAAATTTTTTACTGTTCCTTTATGACCATGAATATATGTAGGTATCATATGAAATTTTCTCAGCTCGTCAACTGGAAATATTTGACATAAAGTTATCTGTCCTTATTAAAGTAGATCAAAGTTCAAAATAAAATATCTCAACTGATAAAAATTTGAAACGGAAACTAAAACCTCATATAGAAAAATTTTGCACGTTTCTACCTCCTTGTGAAAATAGTGAAATAAATTGCAATATTGTGGAAAAAACTCCAAAGTCGTTTGAACCCCTCCAAGCATTTCCTCATCCCATACGTGCTCTTCCCCCTCCCTCCCTTTAACACTTGTGAAAACTAAAAAAAGAATTCACCATATTAACTTTTTCACTCATTAACAGAAAATGTAACTCTTGAAACTGAATTAGCATCATCTAAAAACTGAGATAGCCTTAATTTTTTTTTTTAAGTCCTTAACTGATAAGCATACCTCTGCATAACAATCTCACTAACTTTTTTCAATTACATGTATTGATTTGTTATAAGCTATTTACATGTGATTCATTGTATAATAGCTATGTTCCATCTTTTTACTATTGATTTCAATGTATTTAACAAGGATTGACAGCCTACACTACTGACTTGATGCCTTCATAAAATATTCAAAATGAAAGACATTTTTGTGTTAAATAATTCAACAAAAGGTAACAAAAGTCACAGTTAACATGGTTTACATACTGTTTTTGTATAATAATACTGTATGTATCCCCTACTAAGCTGAGAATGTATCTTTCAAAAGTTGACAATAAAAGTAGGTATGCCAGGGTTATATAACAAAAATAGTTCTATGAGAAAATTTAGGTGCAACAAGTCAAATGGTTTTTGATCTACAATTCATTTTTTCCTTCTAAAAACACCTCCTTCAAAACCTACACTGAAAGAAACATTTAATTTTGTGGAAAATATATATTGACAAATAAAGTTACCTATGATTTAAATTCTTATCCCATTGACAAATAATCTGCAATGTCAGCACTATTTGAGATCATCTTAGTGCAAATATTATGAAAACAAACCCTCAAAGAATATTTTCTATTCAAAATCTATAGTGTTGACTTACTTACCAAGGGAAACAACTGAAATGAATACATCTCAATTTTTGTTTCTTAACTGAAATAGTTTTTCAGTTTTTTGCTTTCACATAATTGAAAATATTCAATATTAAAACTTAAGCGCTGAACTGAGGTAAATTTAGATAGTCCATCAATTTTTCAACCTGTAGGTGTTCTTCTGTATAATCAAAAAATATTAGAAGTAACAGATAAATATAAACACATGAATCTGAGTGCTTGCAATGACTGCAGTATTATTGTGTAATACAAATGTAATATCAAGAAACATTCCAGATATACCTGGTAAAATCAGCTTAAAAGAAAGAAACATTTCAGCTTGACAAAAAGACATAGGACAAACACATCAGTTATTGACCACTCAACCAATGTCCAAATAATAAATCAATGACTTATAATTTTGTACTGCTTCTGGGTTCAAGTCTGGCCAGTAAACCTCATCAATTTGACTTGAACATAGTAATTGTGACCATATATCAACCAATTTGTAAATAAAATTTCTATAAACTGAAAACTGCCACAAAAACCAGGAGTATTTTATCTGTTGTCATTATCTGGATTATATAGAAAAGTATTTGTCAACTATTGTATGAACAAAACATCATTAAAATAGAATGGACAAAGAATTTATTGACTATGTGACATCTGGTAGCCTGACAACTCATCTTTTTACTAAATACGCCTCATTTATTTCATACTTTCAAACTATCTCTGTTTAACACGATATTGTATGATCTATCATAATCTTCAATTCTATTGTCACCAGAAGTGGTACATGTATTACAAATTCTAATATTTTCATTTTCAGTTCTTAATTCAATCAATTCAGATTTATCATAAATTATTAAATAACTTAGGATTTAACATATGAAAATCATATTGTTGATACTGGTATCAAGTTTATTGAACAGGTCAACAGTTCAAATGATATCTAACTTGAGTATTTTTTCAGCAATCCAAAGGAAATAATTTTCCTGATAAATTTTTCTTTCCTATTCCATTTGTTGTATATTGTAATATATATATGTAATGAAATGATATCTGATTCTCTAAAGATTAATCAAAGTACTGAAGTACTGAACATCGGATGACCACAAGTTCTTGAGGATGGTCAAAAGCACTTGTCTCAGAAAAAAACAACATATCTCTTTACCTAAAACTGAGGTTAATGTACAGAGATATATTTTTTTCTGAGACAAGTTCGTGCGTGGATGATGAATAAATGACAGGAAATTCAACTTCACCGTAATAACTATTATAGTGTAGTGATACAAATCAGTATACACTGAGTTGTTGTTTATATTATATTAAAATAACAGTTACATATATATATGATTTGAATCCATTTGTATATCATTCTATTCTACTATTCTAAAAATAGTGCAATGCAAGTGCATGGTGGACACTTTTCTGTAAAAATTCGATTTTTCTAAGATTGGATACGAGTAGGCATT